TGAATATCTAAATATTCAAGGCATGTGAGACAGCTTCAGGAAGAGGAAAGTAAAGAAAACCAGCACCACTGCGTAATAGCCATAACTGTCCCCGTTAAACAATGCAAAACCAGCAGAAAGAATAGAATCTATTTCAAATGGGTGTTGTAGCAACTAAGCTCTTACACACAGACACGATAAAAGCTGCTTTTCATGTATCCTCTGAAGAACTCGACGCATTTGAACATTCTCCCAATTTAAAGCACAGTGGTGACTTAAGAATAATTGATTTGTGGATCTTTCCCTCAGTACAGGTTTGAACTTGGAGCTATCAAGACTAAGGCACTTCAGACTTGTCCAGAAGTAGCATTTTAAGAACCTGTAGAAGACTTCTGGGACTTGAGTGTCTCTACATGTCACCAGATTAACAGAAATTCAAATACCTATATTCTCTCCAAACTCTACAGAGTTTCCACTTTTGCTACAAACAGAATGAGCTGCACAGCCTCAGAAAGAAAAACATGAGATCACAGTGTTTGCTTGTTCTTTTTTTTTAAACCCAAATGTTCTTTTTTTTTTTTAAACCCAAACATGATTTCAACCCATTGGCTTACCAGGGGAGGTTCAGGTTTTGAGAATGGTTTCCCATGAGCTGGCTGAGAGATGCTACTATTCAGTCAGCACTGCAAGCCAAGCCTGGGATACTGTGACCAACTTTGGGTTGCAGACAAATAGGGCAGAATTCAGAAAAAAATTAGATAGTCAGAGGTACACGACTTGTGAGGAGAGACTGTGGAAAATAGGTTGGTTTGGTCTGGTCAAGATGAGGCTAAAACCAGTCGAGGGTACTTGAGGAACAGTTACAAAACTGATGCAGCCACACTTTTTGGTAGTACCTGCATTGGGAGGTGGCCATCACAGACAGCAGCCTGGGAGGTTTGGGATGGATGTTTGGAAAACAGAGTTCTCTAGCGCCGCACTGCAGTGCTGGCACAGGTCAGCTGGAGAGGTTGGGCAAGCTCCTCTTTGGAGGCTTTCTAGACTCAGATCAACAAAGCCAGAGCTGAGCTGATCCTGTGCTGACAAGGGCCTGGCTTGCACAGCAAGCTGGACTAGCCATGCCCCAGAGGTGCCCTCTGAGCAGCACTTCTTTGATTCTATTTGGCTGAAACTTAACCTATTTCAAACTACATTTCTTTCTGTACACCACATTGAAGAAATGATAATTTGAGATATTTCACTTTCAGATGAACCTACTGAAATAAAACAAACCACGATCAGACAAGAGAGCAAGCTGATAATGTGCTTTTCATAAATGCTACACAGCTGCCTGCCTGAATCATAAATTGGGTGCTTTAATGGTTCACTCACACCCACTACAGCCATACATCCAAATTAAGGTCAGTTAGGATTACTTCCCTGTTGAATAGACTTCCCTTTAATTAGATATTCCAGAGATAATGTTTTAACAGCTCATTACTTTACCACTTTCTTGGGGAAGTGGGCATTAAACATGAAATTTGGGATGAGGCAGCTCTGTGTGGTCCTTTCCCACTCCAGAGTGGAATGGGTCTCTGTACTTGACATCTACTACTCATTAGATAATATAGCAGTATCAGGGGGAGGTTAAAAAGTAATTTTTTTTTTAAAAAAAGACTGTGATTTAAAGATAGACATGCCTAATCTACAGCTTCTACCTAACTTCAGAAAATTTATTTCTTGTCAACCTGCATGGGCATTGCATCAACATAAACATTTCTATTGCATACAGGCCTACACTTTCAGTTCAAGATTAGCACCATCACAGTTACACCAGTATTTTACTCAGCTGGGAGAAAGTTAAACTAGTATGAGAACATTTATAGAAGCTTAATATTATGCACACTTGAACTGTATCACTGTAAATAAATCCTCACTAGTTTTGGGCTCAGATAGATGCTGACAGTGTGCAGCCCATGCAAAGAGAACGGCTCCTCTTCAGTGCAACATTTATAGCAAGTTGCTTCACTCAGACTAACCTTCAGAGTACACACTAAGAAACGACATTTCAGCTACATGGAGTGATTCGATTGTGAACAGAGAGCGATTAGATTAGCAGCAGATGACTTGGAAGTCAAGCTGCTGCATACCCACTGAATTACTAGCTCCAGGAGCAGCAGCAGCCCCCCTTCCGCTCAGCCCTCCCCACAGAGCAGAGAGCTCAGGCTTTAAGCATCTCTTTAAGCTTCTTTAGACACCCAGTAAAAAAAAATGCAAAATTTAAATCTTCCCTCTTATAGTACCAAAACCAATCTGCTGTCATACAATATCAACAGTTTGTCAGGATCAAGATGACGATTAAAAGCATTTCATAGGTCACAACGTTTCATAAGTGAAACAGCTGTACAAGCTGATATTCAGCTTACCAGGACATCACATGGCCCAAGAAACTCTTTTCTCAGACCTAGTTATCAGGGACCAGGGCAGAAAAAAGAACAAACCAACAAATACACTATAAACCAGTGGGCATAGCCATGCAGAGACCAGTATAGGGCTGTGCTCTAACCCAGGCAGCAGCCTGTCTTCAACCAGGGCAGGGGAAGTGAAGTGACTAAAAAGTTAAGTTGCCACTCCTCCCCTCAGCCAGATTAATCACCAACCTGAGCTGGTTGCGAGGTTCAGCTGATGAGTAGCAACTCATTAAGCTGAAGGAACTTGCAGCCATCTGGCCAGCCCCTTGGCTTCATTTTTTTAATCAGTTTCACAGAACAGAATCATAGAATAACTTCAGCTGGAAGAGACCTTGAACATCATCAAATCCAGCCTTTGTCCCAGCCCTATCAACCTACTAAACTATGTCCCCCAATGCAACATCCACCCGTCTCTTAAACACTTGCTCAAGTTCCGTGAATAAACACTCTTAAATTAACATGAGAGGCTTCTTAAGAAAGCTGTATAGACAGTCCCTAAACTGATAGGAGCTCAAGAGAAAAAACAGAGGGCAAGGAGAGCTGCCCATCCCAAAGGATTATTGTACAACACCTGTTGTTTCTGTAAAGAGGTGTTGGCTGCGTTCAAAACCTTAATAACCCTGTTCAGGGAAAATTTACAATAAACTTCCTTGATTTTCTAGTAGTTTTTTTGGGGGCGGAGGTTGTGGGGTTTTTTTCCCAAATAAAACAAGGTACAAAAAAAGTCCACCTTTATCAGCACCACCTAGAACACAACATCTGCTTCTCCAGAGCAGTATTTGACGGAGTTAACCCTTAGTATGCTCATTCAGCTGAGCCTACCTACACCCATCTGATCCCAATTAACTACCAGTCGGGAGCACTTGCCAGCGCTGACTAGGAAACCTTTATGGGCATTATCAGCCCTCCTCTTCCATCCCTCAAGAAGCAAAAAACCCCAATATTGGAAAAATATCTTGACTCAATAAGGCCTTCTTCTTAGAGACATTATTATCACAACATAAAACAAAAGTGATAGTTTCTATCCAAAGTACACAACGTTATGATTTTCTGGAATTTATCTGGGGTGTTTATCATTAATTTTGAAATTCAGTGTATTGTGCCTCATATTATTTACCTAAGAAACACAACCAGAGCACGTGATATGTGGGAATCACCTGTTTTGTTCAGCCCAGTATAGTGTATTTCAGTTTCTATAGAGGTTTCATGATCTCTCCAGTTTATCCTCTGGAATCTTTATCACAGTATAGTTGTGAACATGTATTAATCTAGTTACTTAAAAAAAATATAAATCTATGTTTGAGATCAAAATGTGATGAAAAAAAAGGGGGCAGAAAAGAGGTCTGAAATCTTTCTCTTGGTGTTTTAAGGCATAACAAACTCCAGCAATTCATTTCATCACATCCAGTTGTAATGCTAAACCACAGATAAACATTACCAATGTAGCAAGAATGTGTTTCTTCCTTCTGAAGGAGGTCCAAGATTGCCCTCTTGAGTATGCCAAACAGCATGGGGTACTTCATTTACCATGTGATTGGCACACGCTTCACTTTTGAATCAGTTTGGAGATGAAATTGTTGGCTAAAGCTCTGGAAATTCTGACTCTGGAGCTGTCAGGCAGGCTGTCTTTACTTTGAGAAAAAATAATTCTTCTTAAACACTATGTTACTTGGCCTTTTATCTGTTTTTACGTTGTTCGTTAGTGTTTTGCATTTCAACATATTATGCAGCACCCCAAGAACTTTAGTAGGGGGAACTTCATAAAATAAAAAAGTTTACTATTTCAGCATGTGTTAATAAAATTGCTATGTTTGGGGAAATATTCTAATACAATCTATTTTAATGGCACACAGAAAGTCAGCCTTTGCATGCTAATAAAAAAAAAAGCCAGAAATCGTTTCTTAACATCCTTTTCAAGGCATCTCTCACAAAGCAGAGAATTCCAAGGGTTGAGGGTTTATTTTTCCACTTATCTTGTAAACAAAGGAATTTATGTCATAAACTGATGCTTGAATTTTTCTAGTCAACATTATTTTGCATAGCAACAAGCTTCTTTCCAGTACATTTTAAGCCACACTTTGGTTTATTATTTTATTGGTATTAATGGAAATGAACCAGAAGAGGAAAACACACTATTTGGAGGCCTGACTCTAATGCCTTCCATATCCTAAAGCCCGTAAGTGTTCTGGGAGCAGAGTCCTTGGAGAACTGGTTCTGAATTCACTTCCTCAGGGACACACAACTCTAAAATCATGAGTTCTTTTCAGATCCAGTCTGCCTCAAACTCAAACCCTCCTGAAGCCTTCCACTCCCAGCCTGAGCTTTTTTCCCCCCTCACTGCCATGAGTGACGCACACACACGTATGCTCACGTTTTGTGAGAGCACAGCAGGCAAATGTTGTTTACAACATCCTTACTTAAACACCCTTTATTCACACAACTGCCGTGTTATCACCAAACATACTTTGCACAGCAATTTAACGCACGGTTTGTTTTTCATCCAGTTTCTCTAATCGCTTTAGTAACCCACTTTCACAGCCACAAAAGGTTTCTGAAAAGTTTCTCTCTTACCTGAACACTTGGCTCTCGGTTGTGGCAAACCCTGAAGGATCGAGCTCCATTATATACTTCTGTCAACACAGATGTTGTCAGCTGCCTGAGGTACAGCCACGCCACTGATTCTGAAGGTGAAAGAGCTTTTGTATCGAGATGAGGGTCAACCAGTATCAAATAACACAAGTACAATCACTACCTCTGTTCTCCTAATAGAGGTATTTCTAAAAATATGTACAGCCATGATTTTCCTTATAATGCTCCCCTTCATTAGAATTTTTATAGTAACGTATGTCCTCCGAGGAACAGGATTGTTGATTTCAATGAACGCTCAGTGGTACCACAGCATTCACTTTGCACAAATGTTTACTTCATCTTCCATTTGAGTAACAAGGAGTTCAGATCTTGAGAGAAGGCTCTGACTACGGTAAGTCAGCGCTACAGAGGTGGTTTTGTAATTAAAATGACTTGTTGGGCTGCCATTTTTTTTTTCTCAGGAAAGGGTCACCAATGCAACATTCTTCTGTGTGGTGTTTTGGATACCGCCTATAAAACGGGCTCTTGGTATTTTGATGTGCCACAAACGACGTCTGGTAAATGGTTGAGCCATCTTTGCTGCTAGGAACTGATTCGGGAGCCCATAGGAAGTAGTTCTGTGGGTTCTGTTGCAATCTCTCTGGCTTCACCTTCCGCCGGCCCATACCCTAGAAAAAAAATATTAAAGCAAAAATTCATGTAAACATATGACTTAGAATCACAGTTTCACAGATTAATCTTGCAACAGTCACTGCCCCACTGGGAAGTTAACAAAGCTGTTACCACAGTGATTTCGAGAAGTCATAGTTGATCTTTAGCAAGTTAAAAATAATATCGTCAGACTTGCCTGTATGAACATCTCTGGCTGCATATATAATGGGAAATCTGCTGACCTTCCACCTCATAGTACTAATAAACCACTGAAACTTTGCATTTCTGTAGCACACTGTATACTCAAGGCTATTTAGCTACAGTCAGCTAAATTAATCTTCAGAGTAACCCAGAGAAATAGCTTAATAATTTTATGTTCGGACAGCAGTAAGGAAACAGAGAGACTATGAAATCTGAATCTTCAAAGCTATCCCTTGTCCAAACACAGAGAGATGAAACCTGGTTTTCACACTCCATAGCTTGCAGGAAATTTATTTAGAATTATGGTCGATCACTGTCTCTAAAACTATGAGACGCTGCACAAAGTGAATAAGGAAGGCAAAAAAATCCAGGTCCAAGAGAGCCCAAAGTCAGAGAAACTTTCAATATCACAATTCTCTGCTTCCTGCTCCACTCATTATCCTGTGAACCACACTATTTCTTTTGCTGCCTAGAAAGATGTCAGCAATCTAAGAAAAGTGTGAAAATAGGAAACTGTGGCACACACAGAAAAGCCCAGAACAATTTCAGTTCTATTCAAAGCTGTGACTTCCGCAACATCCATTTAAAGAGGTATATTATAAAGAGATATTGATTGGAAAATTGTACATTGTGGAAATATAGTGTGGGTGTCCCATGGATTCTGGTTAATCTTATGACAAAGAGGAGTCTGAACTGAATATGCAGCAGCGTGAATTACAAGTGGAGAAAAGACACTGTGCTTTATATCTGGCAGACCGGGAAATAAGAAGTTGCTTGTTTTTTAATCAGTCCTGGGCACTTACCAAATCAAAATACTCTCCCACGTTCTCTAGAGAGTGTCTGTTGTCATGAGAAGAAAATGGGAAATTGTTGTTCCTTGTTTTCTGGAAAGAAAAAAAAAATTATAGCAAAAAATAAAAAAGAACTTTCACATATCTTGTTTAGAGTCTACTACCCTTACTTCTTACATTCTGACAGGTGCTGGATTAGAGCTGCCTATGTTTCAACACAGAAATCATATTCATGTGTCAAACATTCAATTGCACAAAATTTTGTAGGTGTAACGTGGACCGTCTGTATTTTGTTTTATTTCAGTTTAGTGAAGTGGGTTTTTTTACAAAATCATTGGAGGATTCACATTCCCTTGACTTGCTCAATATGTACGTGATTACTATAAAAGTGTGAATTATCAAATGAGAAATGATACATTCTGTCTGCAAGCAGCCAAACGCTAGGTATATGTCAGGACTGCCTTGTTTGATTCACTAGTAAGCCTAAAGCTAATTAAAATGAACTACAAAAGGGACCTCAAAACTAAATTAATCTGTGATTAATGTACTGAATGTCATGTACTCTGCTTGTTGCAGGGAAAGTGGAGGAGGTATTAATTGCATAACTAATTTATAATCTCATTCTTTTACATAATGTTCATCCAGTCTCTAAAATGAAAGTAGGATTTTAAAAGAAAAAAGGGAGAACTGCAAAAGAATTATTTTGAAAGTAAGTTAACATATGTAATTCATTTAAAGTTTGTTTATCATATGTCATTGAAATGCTGTTAGTGTAGCTCAAATCCGAAATACTGAAAACTCTTCTGGACTACTAGATTGTTTTTCTTCCCCAAGTATTATTTTCCTGCCACACATTGGGAACTTTATGTTTTTTTCTGTAAATGTTCTAGCCATGTTTACTTTTAACATTGTGGAATACATTTTTCATCTTCCAACTATGATATTCAGCTCCAAACGGAGGAGCAAGTTTTAATGTAAAACAATTTAAAAAACCACATTTCAACAGTAAAGGGAATCCAAATCAGTTCTAAAGACAAATGTAACTGGAGGCCTGATCCAGCAAGAAGAATCAGCAAATAAATACAAAATTTGCCTGCCTGGCATCAGCTGCATGCTCACATCTTGGGTTTTTTGGTATCCTAGACAGATTCTCTACCTTTTTTAGCTATATGTCACACAGATTCAACCAGACTGTAGTTCAATGGGTAAGTAAATTCCATGGATACATTCGTATATATATGTTTAAAAATAAGCACCTTCTAAGTCAGTAAAATATAAGACTTACAAAAATATCTTGCTGCAATTACAGGTCAATCTTAACATTTTAGGAATAGTGTTTATTACTAGTGACTATATGCTGTAGAAAAATTGAAAACCAAGATGGTAAATATTGAATACCAGCTCTTGGAAGGATTCCACATATTAACCAAAGGTTAAGAAAATCTGTTGCAGAATAATTATCGGACTATGATCAAGTAAGAAATAAGAGGTAATATAAACAGTGCTATATTTCTCAGAAAAATAATTAACCTCACAGCCAGTGAGTTCCATACTACAAATTGATGCGAGACATCCAGTTTCACATGCGATGAGCTTCCAACGCTCTATCACCACTTTTAAAAAAGTCACATAAACAAGCTTCCTCAGATTGTTCCTGTGACCTCACATTTTAGCCTTTAAATGCATCTTCATACTCTTACTGCTGATCTCATCTTAATTCTTGATTTATGACAGACACGAATTCCACTAACTCTTTTTAACAGTGAAGGGCTGCTAAATGCAAGACATAAAATACCAGGTGAACAGCCCTATCAGTGTTGAGAAAACATCTGTCTCGCCCAGCTCTCCTTTTCAGACAGTGGCTAAGGCCTGCTGTGCCACAGAAAGGTATACATAATATCAACATAATGTATACTCATGTTACAGTGCACCCTTTTCCTTTTCCTTTTCCTTTTCCTTTTCCTTTTCCTTTTCCTTTTCCTTTTCCTTTTCCTTTTCCTTTTCCTTTTCCTTTTCCTTTTCCTTTTCCTTTTCCTTTCACTAGCCCCGAGCTCCCCTTTTAAATATTCCTTCCTAACCCATTTCTGTTCTTCGTTGTAGGAAAAATCTGTAAAATAAATTCAATGTAATTGCTATGCCTATAGAAAATGAAAAGAGAAAATGTTCTGTGCGCAAAGTGGGTGGATAAAGCAAAGCTCAGTGTCAAGATAAAATAAGGACATTAAAATGTACTTACAAAATTGTAACAGTTTAAATACTGGTGATTTTAAAATATTGTATTTTGTTGGCTTCCAAAATTGCCCCAAATCTCCTCATTTTTCAGCAAGCCTCAAAAATGTTTCAGATGGGAAGCTTCTAACTCTTTCACAATAAAAAAAAAAAATTCTTTGCCTCAACACACAGAATGTCTGACATCCATTTCAAAACAGAACATCAAATTTCAATTAAACGTTCTTACAGGGCTTTACACACAGCTTTTGGACTGAGATTGATCGTAATACATTCTGGCACACAAACGTGTCTCAAACAGCTTTAGCAGATAATAGAAGGGAAAAGTAACTGATGGTGGAAATCAGCAACAGCTATAGCAGGACTTTGAATACCCAAAATTATAATTGAGTAAGAGCAAAGTGTTTCTCCCTTAGTGCAGCCAGCAATCACTTTATTCCCTGAGGCACAAAGTCTGCCAGTCTGCTAGGACTGCTTTGCTAACGACTGTAAGCGCTGCTCTTGCTTACAACTTAGCAAGTGACATCTTGCAGAAAGGAGCTTTGTGAATCGACTGTACCGTCACAGGAACTCACCAGCTCCCGAAATTTGTACGCCAGCGGCAATTTATCCTCAGCATACCGAGCCGCTTCTGCGTTGTGGACCTGTTCAAGCGCAGATCTGGTAGTTGACTGAGGTAGACTCTTGCATACTCCAATATGAGCAAACTAGAAAATAACGAAAATTAAGACTCATTAGGAAAAGAAAAAGCCGACAACATAAAATCCCCCAAATAAATCGTGAACATGGACAAAATCATATCTTCCCATTTATTATTTTTATTATTTGGATTGCAGCAGCACCTAGTGGCCTCTGGAAAAATGAAGAGCTGTGCACACACACCACAACCGCTAGCAAAAAGACCTCGTGACTTAGATCAGTGCAACACAAGGATCTTATTTCTCCAGGAACTTTCAAAAAATTGTTTATACAGTGATGAAACACCTGTCGAAACCACTTAGGCCATAACGTCTTTTTCTTTTTTCCCCCCATTGAGGCACTTCTCCTGAGGGCGAGAACTGACGCAACAAAAATGAGGTCTAAATATAAAATAAGAGACTTCCAGTGTTGTTGGAAAACTCAGCGAAAAATCCTGCCAGCGTTTGCTTTAGTACGATTCCTCTGAATACCCAGGGCACTTTTTCCTCAGGAATGGGAAACCTCGTTTTTGGCTAGAGGACAAAGTCCCCTTCAGAAGGGTGCTTTTTTCAGGAGTTTAAGGAATACAAAGCCTGGCACGGGACACGGGGGTTCCCACCAAATGCTTACCCAGGCACCCGGGCACTCGCTGGGTTGGGATGGCCTCCCTTTGGGCATGGCTCCGTGCTGCCGCTCTCGCAGCCGCGGGGTGCGGGCTCCTTGGTCACCACTTGTTCCGCTCACAGAGGGGAATGGAACCCCCTCACCATGACTCCAGCTCCTCCCTGGCTGCATCACTGAGTGATTCTGGGAAGATCCAGACAAGCAAAGGCAACGCAGCTCTCACCCGCCTACTGCAGAAGGGGAAGGCGGGGAAAGTTGGTAAGCGCTGTCTTAAAATGAGAGAAAAATTGATTTTTTTATGAGTTTGAGCATGAACTTGTAAGCATCCATGCAATCTACCTGTCGGCACATGCCGCCCAGGCAGAGGTTCAGGGAAACACGTCAGGGGCCGGTTAGCTCAGTCAGTTGAGCTAAGGTTGCGGGTTCGATTCCCGTTCGGTCCCCATGTGTTGCCTGATCTAGTTGAGAGGTGGCGTCCCTGGCAGCTGGATTAAAATGATCTCTAAGGTCCCTTCCAGCTTAGGCCATTCTATGATGATTCTATAACCATGTCCCTCGAGGAAGGTGAGGGTGGCACGGCACTGCAGCGGGGATGCCACTTGCCTGCAGGCCCCAAAAGTCCCTAGTGTGCACGTTTGCATCACACAGTCCCTGAAATGGATGCAGCAGACTTTTTTTTGTTGTTACGCGTAACATTTTGTAACACGTCTTTATGGATGGGGAAGTGGAATGTAAGGCTTACTCCACAGAATGAAAAACTGGGGCCTCCAAGCCCTTGCTCACCATGAAATGAGCCTGTGGGTGAGCTGTAGATGAGGGAGAATTTCTCATAAAACCAGACACTCGTATGCTAAGTGGCCTGTTCTTCAAGGCTAACTTACGTGGGAATGGGTTAGCATAGCTGGCAAACAGGACGACTAAAAACTTGGCTGAGTTAAGTATGAACGATTCAGGCTTAGCCATTTACAAAGTACAATTACAAAATTCCTGGGGGAAAAAAATCTAGTTTTCCATCATACTATCATAGGTAATGATATTGGGGAATGCTAGCTGCCATCACAGAGTTTTTCAAGGCTTTCTTCTAAGTGACCTACTTTGTTCCACTTAACTACCCCTTGAACTTTTGATAATACAGATAAGAGCGATTATTTGGAACTTGTTATTAATTGTGCCATGCTGCAAGCTACTTCTAAGTGCAAAAGTAGGTAAATTACTTTTATGGCCGTTTACAGAGGCAAATGTAAATCTCGCTCATGAAGATTAAAGCACTCCAGATAACGTAATTTTGGTTAAGGGAAAAAACAACCAACCAGCAATTATAAATGAGCAGTAAAGAGCTGCACGTTCTGAAACACTTTCATGATTATATTGTTGCCTCAGCCTTGACTGTAATGCCCTGCACCAGTGTCTGAATATGCCAGAATCAGATCAGATCAGCAGACTGGAGATAACCCAAGCTATTTTTAAGACTAGGCCAGCGATAGAAACAGCTAGACACGGATAAAGAACAGGAAAGGCAGAGGATCTCGTAATTGGTTTTAATTCCATTCTATTCATTCTCAGCCTCAGTAACTTGATGCTCATTATTGCAAACTCGAGCAGCCTTTTGGCTTTTAGAGTATTGCTCCACTAAAAAACTTTTTTTTCTCTGAAGGGATGCAACAGATTTATATTTACCACTGTTTTCCAGTGAGATCTTGGTAAAGCTGACAAGGATGACACTTAAAAGGTCACTATCATTGTAAAAGGAATCTAAGTGAACACAAGGAATAATTAAACTAAGGACAAGTGCCAGTCTGCAATGACAGCAGACACAGGTCCAATATAATAAAAGTTGGACTAAAATCACTTTAAAACATTATCTTAAATGATTAAATTCCTTAAATTGATTCTATATGTGCACTTTCATACCAAAGTGTATTGCTGTACTTCCCATGCTGCTGTTACTGCTGGAACACTTATGCCTTGTGTTAGTAAAAAGAGGCAAAATTAGAGTATTTTAGGTTGGTTCACGAAGGAAACAGGGCTTATGCAACTACACTTTCTGCCTCTGAAACCCCGCGATAATTTTCAAATCTCCAGGCCAACTTTTGAGCGAAAGAAAGAATTTCGAAGATGACCAGGATCACCCGAGCTCCATCAGGGTCAGCACAGAACAGGAAAGTACCCCGGTAAAGAGAGAGAGGCCCTGGCCCCGTTGCTCCACAGATTGCATAACAGGATGACGGGCAGCTAGCACATTCCCCGCATAAAGAGATCACCTAAGAGGAAAATAACAACTATTAAAACCCCTTTGGGCACTACTCAAGGCACCATTTGCTCGTTCAGGCCATCAGAGCGAAGCCTTCCCCAAACCCGCTGTACAAGCAGAGGCCGGCCGCTCCTGCTCCTGCTCCCCCACGCCTTGAGGAGCCCCCCATCAAGTTTTCGCCTGTTTCACAGAGGTCACAGTTACCCAGAGCGCCTGTAGAGCCCATCACTAGTCCCTGGTCCCTTACCTAAGCTACCTAACAGGCTCGGTACCGCTCCTTGCCCGGCACAGG